AGACACCAGAGTTTTTATGTCGAAACCCCTGAAATGAGGGAAAAACTGCGGGGCCTAGCCCAGTTTGAATGAATCCACTAGTATTTGCAGTCGATTACAAATGAGGCCCTTCTTAGGGAGAAGGCCTTGGCTTGATGTTACAAATGTACGTCATATAGAGCACATTACATGGTGGGAGTTACAATAATCAACATAGACAAGTTTATTTGGTTGGAAGGGCCATTGTCAGTGATGGAGGTCTGAAGGATCGTAGTCGGCAAGAGACAGAGTTCAGAAAGACCGTTGTCTGGAGATATAGGTCGGAAGGATCGTAATAGGCAGAAAACCGAGGTAATAAAGACCGTTGTCTGGTGATGGAGTTCGAAAGGACCATTGTAGGTGTCGGAGGTCCGAAGGACCGTAGTCGGCAGGAGACTGGGGTCAGAAAGACCGTTGTCTGGTGATGGAGGTCAGAAGGACCGTAGCGGCAGGAGACCGGGGTCTGAAAGACCATAGTAGGAGGGTGGTACTTCGAGAGAACTCTCGATGTCAAGTGGTGGCCCGGAAGAAGTCCGGGCGTCAGGTGGTGGCCTAGTGGAGCTCAGGGCCTCAAATAGTGGTCAGGTGGAATTTCGGGCTTCAGGTGGTGGAATGGTGGAGCACAGGGCCCCAAGTAGTGGTTTGGCAGAAGTTCATGCCTCATGTGGTGGTCTGGCAGAAGTCCGGGCCACAGGTGGTGGTACGACGGACCAACGGCGTCAGACGGTGGTCCGGTGAAGGTGAGGGCCTCAAGTGGTGGTTCGGAGGAGCAACGACATTAGTTGGTCTTCCGGTGGAGGTGAGGGCCTCAAGTGGTGGTCTGGCGGAGCAAAGGCGTCAGGTTGTGGTCCGACGGAGGTGAGGGCATCAAGTGGTGGTCCGGCGGAGCAACCACATCAGGCGGTGGTCCAGCGGAGGTGAGGGCCTCAAGTTGTGGTCCGACGGAGCAATGACATCAGGCGGTGGTCCGGCGGAGGTGAGGGACTAAAGTGGTGGTCCAGCGGAGCAACGACGTCAGGTGGTGGTCCGGCGGAGGTGAGGGCCACAAGTGGTGGTCCGGCGAAGGTTTGGCGGTGGTCAGGTGAAACTCCGGCGGTGGTCGAGGAGGAGCTTCTTCTTTCTTTTCTCTTCTCTTCTTGCTTCGATCCCTCCCTCAAGAGAAATGAGGTGTCTATTTATAAATTTTTTGGAGTGGCATGGCCCATAAATAGGTGAGAGATCAAGGGTAAATGGGGAGTGGTTGGATGGACGACCAGTATTAAATCCCTTGATCATGCACCGTTCATCAGACATTTGATGGCTTTAAAGATGTCGGAATTCGGCAAGTTTGGGCTTGTTGGATTCGTCTCGTTGAGCCGCTAGATTCGACTATAAGCACGTAATGTTTGGAAACAGTTTGGTAACCCGAATTTAGGTTTGAACCTTCATTTGGGCTTAGATTGAGTCTAATTTGGGGTCATCGGGTTCTTATTTCCGAGACGTTTAGTTTGACTATAAGTTTGCTGAAATCAGAGTTCGGATGGTCTCCTAATTAATTTTTTTCCAACTTGATTTTGCATCGAGATTCGCACCCGATCAAGATAATTTTTTTGATGACGTATCAATTATAATGGCACCTTCTTGGTAGACGTTGTAAGTTATTATAATAGTAATTGCTAACTATTAAGGAGATGCATAACAATAAGCATATCTTTCATTATGTCATTATCCCAATGGCTTGGAGCTGGACAATTCCTTTAACAATTTGGTAACCCGAATTTAGGTTTGAACCTTCCAACAACACTTTGGGTCCTTGATTTGGGCTTAGATTGAGTCTAATTTGGTGTCATCGGGTTCTTATTTCCGAGACGCTTAGTTTGACTATAAGTTTGCTGAAATCAGAATTCGGATGGTCTCCTAATTAATTTTTTTCCAACTTGATTTTGCATCGAGATTCGCACCCGATCAAGATAATTTTTTGAAGACGTATCAAGACTAAATCTCAAAATTTCCTCTTGCATATGTAGAAATAAATTTTATAGGTGGGACCCCACTTATATGTAGAAATAAATGGTGAGGATGGACAAACCTATATTGGGTTCGACTCATGAATACAGTTAACTTATAAATTTTGGGAAAGATGCTTCCACTCTTTGTATTAAAATCTATAAAATGATACCTACAATCAAATGAATATACTGTTTATTGAAACATTTGATTATCTTCACAAACATTTAATAAATATTAAATATAATTTTTTATTAGACAAAAAAATAATATTTTATAAGTCACATTCTGAAATTCAAATTTTAGAAGCGGTGAGTTCTGCTTAATTTCTCTCACTTAAAAAAAGAATTCAAGTCTTATAGTATATTGATTTTGTATCTCAATAACAAGCATAAATATTGTTTAGAAAAATTTTATGGTTGAAATTTTGTCAAGAAACATTTGACGAAATATCTAGTTTATACCCATTAAAAAATTAATAACATGCCATGCATGTTGCATTTGACCAAATTCTAGGTTTTATTATTGAAAGAAAGAAATTTCTCAAAAAATATTTCTCATTTTTTTAAAAAACAAAAGAAGAATAATATTTCTCACACTTAATTTTGATAAATTTTACTCTTTAAAATGGGGCCAAACATAAATTTTAAAAGTTTCAATTCCCATTCTATTATTTTTAGTTTATACATTGTCAAATATGCCTTCATATCAGCCGTCAAAATTTACATATAGATTTATTTGAATTGTATACATAAATATTATTAATTTTTCCTGTAAGAGATAACAATCAAAGTCAAACTTTAGTAAAAACCAGTAAACTTATCACATTAATTTACTGCTTAGATCTTAATTTTTGAAATTAAAAACAGTATCTTATAATAACCACACAAAAATCGTTCATGGCATGGCACTAATTATTTTTTCATGAAATATTTAAATCAATTAAAATAAATTCAAATAAATATCATATATATATATATATAATTCGAGTCCAAAATTTATTAATTATTAGTTGAAATTCTCAATCAATATGTTCAAATGAGCTGCATTTTTTAGGGTAATTCACTGATCATTTTCATTTTATTACTAAAAAGCGCGCCGACTTGGATCTAAAATGATCAGCAGCAGGTCTTCCTGAAAAATCAAATAGCAGGAAAAAGAACTTTGGCTAAATTTTAGAAAGGATCACTTTTTAAACAACATTATGTAAAAGGAGCAGGATTAATAAAAAATTTAAAAAGGAGCGGAAACGCGGAATAATTTGCCGTTTTCTAAATGCGCCATCCTTTTTGGCGTAATTGCCAAGAGAGAAAAAGATTGGGAGGAGAGAGGACGGGGAGAGAGAGAGAGGACGGGGAGAGAGAGAAAAAGCTGACCGGTGAGAAAGAGAGAGGGAGAGCAGGTGGGTGGAGATAGTAAATATTTAGAGAGTTAAAACTAATAGGGGAGAGTTATATATTAATAAAAATAACATTTAAATTAATATTTAACTAATATTAATTAAAAATAACATTTTGTTTTTTTTTTTTTAATTTAAACAGCCCCTTTTCTATCAAATTTGAGTGGAGTTTGTATAAAAAAAAGTATCTCTCTTGCTATTTGAAAAATGATAAAAAAATATGTCGAGTATAAATAATCAAAATTGAAAATTACAAAATAAAATTAATATATCTTTAAATAAAAAAATTAATATCATTTTATCATTAAAATAATTATTTAAATATTAAATATAAATCAGTTAACTATTATTTAAATTATTTAAATATTAGTTTAATTATTTAAATATATATATATATATCAATTAATTGCACTTATTATTTAAAATATTTAAGTATTAATTTAATGTTATTTTAATTAATATACTCTCTCTCCAAGCAGCTTTAACTCTCTCTCACTCTGCAGCCAATTTTTTTCTCTTAAGTTATTTTTTCTGCTTTCTCTCTCTTCCTGCCACTCTCTCTCTTTTCTCTCTCCCCATCCTCTCTCCACTCTCTATTTTCTCTCTCTTGGCAAATACGCCAATTCATTTGGCGCATTTAGAATGCGTCCAAATATTTGGCGCATTCTAAATGCGCCAAATTATTTCACTTTTCTGATCTATTTTAAATTTTTTACTGATTATGCTCCTTTTACATAATACTTTTTTGAATCTGTTGCTTTCTAAAATTTGGCCAAAAACTTTTAGCCGCCACAAGAGATTTCAATAGAAATTGTCTGTTTACTTTCAAAAATAATCCTGTTCCGTGTTTGTGTTGCGTAGTTGATCTGCGATATCTCTTCTGCCCACTGGGACCCTTACGCGCGAAGCAAAAGAAATGATTATGGACGTACTTATTTGCTAACTGCAACTGCAACGAAAAGGGCCCACCGTAACAGCCAGGTTGTTGGTGGGTTACTTGCCTGAGTTCGATTGTTCGGTCCCCCTGAGCGGTGCAACCTCATTTCGATCTGCGCCCCAGAACGACCAAATCACCATGCGTGCATAATTGCATCTCGCGTACCGAACTCATAGAAAATTGCACACACACTCACGAAAATTCCCTCTTAACGAACATTCGTTGCGTTATCACCCTCGAAAGTCTATTGTCATGGACACGCAGGCTATCCTTATAACTTCAATAGTCTGAAATAATAAGTGTATTTAGTGACTAAGACATTTGTTATTTTTTGCAATTAAGGGTAATGTTCGAAATGATAAAGACAATTATCATCGCCAGGATGTGAAAGAGGTTCGTATCATGAATATTGCAGGGGAAAAAATGGTAAAAGCTTGCACAGGATTTGATCAGTTACGCCATGTATGATTGTACTGCCACAAAAATGTCGCGGTGATTCCTTTTCGACGTCGCCTACCAATTCGTTAGAATTCGATAACGGTTTCGAGACTACTGTCTACTTCGCACTGTGGAATTTCGTCCGAGCTAATCTATAAATAGCCCCTCTCTGAGCTCTCTCCGTTCATTTGGTTTCTCGTCTCTTTCTTCTTCCCTCCTTCCCCCACTTACTCTCTCTCTCTCTCTCTCTCTTCTCTCTACTTCTTATTACGTTTTCTTTCCAGTCTTTAGGCTTTTAATACTCTGTCAGTTCTGCTTTACGGCTAAAAACTCTGGTGAGGGAGCTTCGCATTCTTATTTTAAATTTTCGTTTGAGGTTCTAGAGAAAAGAACCGCAGCTATGTTCTTTTCGCCGATCGATTAATATGCTAAACGTTTGCGGCGACAGATTTCATCTTCTTTTTGGTAGAGATCATTCAGAGTATTAATTAATTTCTGGATTCTTGAACAAATGTAAGATCGCGATTACCCAGAATGATCAGGGCTTTACCTTTTATTCAGATTGTGCTGGATCGATCTTCGTTTTATTAGGGAACTTAGACGTTCAATTTTCAGAAATTTTCGCTGTTTTTAGATTTACTTTATGAGATAAGTTTGTTGTTCCTGTTCGGAATTTCTTCATTGGGCTCATCCTTTCGTAATTTTGCTGTTTTACACAAGTGATCTATAGCCTTGGAATTGAGATTAAAATGAAATTAGTTCATAAGCTTAAGTTCGTGATTAATTTGCATCTTTTCCAGATTTTACAGAATTCTCCGCTTACCCAATCGACAACGAAAATGCAGAAAGAGCTCGTTTCTTCCGCTAATGTCGATCGCATCGAAGCATCCTCCGTCTCGCCAATGCTATTCGTACCACCTGATCTCCGGATACCTTCTCTTCCGTACCTGACCACTGGCCGCGATTTCACCAGGTTATCACCGCAGATTTCCAACCCAATGGTCAGCCAATATGCTGTATCTCCCCCGATCCAATGCTCAGGCAATACACCCATCACACAGTCTTCTTCCCCAGTTTCATTTGAAGATGAAGATCCTGTGGCCATTGAGAACCGACTCTACCTCTCCCGACTCGCGCTACAATATCAGCAGATCACCGACCGCTATGCATACTGCCTCTCTCAACTCCAAGACGCCAAGCTCGAGACGGAGAACATTAGTAAGAAGAACACCGAGCTCCGTCGTGCCAATGACGCGCTCTACCAGCGGTTGAGCCTCAACTCCGCGAAGCATCAATACAGGAGTCCGATGACTAATGACTACCCTCCAATGTCGCTCCTGGATGACCACTTCCGGCGCCTCTCTTTGACAGAACCGCCCGATGAAGCAAGCCCAACGAGCGTGTTCGGGTTCCAGGACAATCGACACGGTAGAAAATTTCCTGCAGTCGATGACAAGCGACTCACGCTGCCAAAGTGCATCTCGATCCGTTCTCCCGGGTATCTCAAGATTCACCAGACGGGAGGTAGCTGCTCTGAATCCAACCGCAACATCAGACACCGTCCCACCACCCCTGTGATGGTAGGAGCGCGTTCGCCATCAGCCCTACACTAGTCCTTTTCCATCTTTTTATGCTAAAAGTTTTCTATATACATCAATTTAGTTAAAGCAATTATTTGTGGACTTATGGCAGCAACAGAAAGTGTGCTTGGGCGGGACTGAGAACAAAGATGGAGGTGAAGCAGAGGATGCCGTGGAACTAGACGTGTATAACCAGGGAATGTTCAAGACTGAGCTGTGTAATAAGTGGCAAGAAAACGGTGAATGCCCATACGGCGAGCATTGCCAGTTCGCACATGGAATCGGCGAGCTGCGACCAGTCATCCGCCACCCGCGCTACAAGACCGAGCTCTGCCGCATGATCCTCGCCGGAGACACCTGTCCCTACGGCCACCGCTGCCACTTCCGCCACTCCATCTCCCCGCACGACCGCCTTCTCCGTCGGACCTGACCCCTCGTGCTGCCGATTCGTCCCTCTATCCCACAATAACGACAACAATGGAAAGACAAATTTCAAATCAATGTTACTCGAGCCATAACAGAACCTATGGTCACAGTTCCGGATTAGTATATATATATATATATGAGAGAGAGAGAGAGAAAGGATTTTCTGGGTTTTAACTGTAATTTTAGATGTATATCTTGGTATATGGTTAATTAGTAAGTAATAATGATGAAGATGCATTGGTTGATGCAGCTGAGGAAGGGTTGGGTAAGTGCTGTCGTTCCTTGATTCTGTTTTCCTTACTTCGCTCGATCAGACATTATTTTTGAGACTTATTCCAAAGTCCTCGAAGACATTTTAATTGATTTGTTCTGTTATTTGTTTACTTACAGCAGGTTTCATTTGTAAGTATTAGAAATGGCTTGCTAGTTTGTTGGAGTGGGTGGTACAAGAAGAGTGAGGTGGTGGATATTGCATCTTCTTTCTGTAGTTTTATTGTTCTTTTGATTTTCTATCTAGCACTTCAACAACCGTTGCGATGATGATTCATACATTTGAACTACTTGCAATAGGGAACTTCGTAAACTGATACTTGATTGTTATTTATCTTGGTGGACTTTAAATATTATATGATGGTGTGATGGGAGTTGAGAAATTAAAAGAGTACTGAATTTTCTCTAATTATCATAAATTTATAATAATTTCAAAATTACAGTTATCATTTTCATCTGGTCAATCAATTAATAAGTAAGGTTGGGATTGTTGCCCATCATTACTAAAATAAGATTAATATAATAGCATATAATAGCAATAGTTTTCAAATCATCGCTAAAAAAATGGTTAAAAGTGCTCCATATTGAAAAAATTGATAATTTAAAATCTCATTCTGCCCATGCCCTACCTGCTCGGTTAGCTATTTTTCTTGCCTAGCTCCAATGACATTCTCTTCCTCTTGTTCCTAATGATATTCAACACCGTGCAATATATTGTCGTCCAATCACCACAATAATACAACATGTTACTATCCTTAGCCACCACATTGAGTGCTACTTTGTTGATTGTCCTTGTGCCAAAAGATGCTTGGCTAGTCTCCGTTGTGCTAATCGCCAAACTAGGTTAATATTTGATGTACTGTTTCAATCAATTTTCACATATATATAGAAAATAAATTTTGAGTATTTTGATGCTATCATACAGCTCAATATCGTGGTTTTAATATAATAGCTATTATTAAATAACATTATAAGTAACTTTCAGTATTTATTATAGATTATTATATTATTGTTCATCCTTCACTTATCAACATATGAAATATACTTACTGGATAACAACATCCTATTTATCTTTTGAAATACAATCTTTAATAGTTTTAAAATACACACATAAATATACTTTTTCAATTATTATAGTAACTAGTAACCAACTATGTATAATTAATTAAATAAAATACTCATAACTTAGTCTTCCATTCATATATTTGATAATCAATTAATAATACGAGAAAATCATGCTTTTTTAAAAGGATTATTACTTTAATTTATATAATTTCATTACATGAAGCAAATAGTTGTCAAACAAAATTTATATCTCTTCCTTGAAAAAATTAACATTGAAAACAAGTATAAATTTTAGATAAGTAATTTTTAATTTAAAATAAATATTTACGTAAAGGCAAGATGATGCCATAGAATACTATTTAGTTATAGTTAAGAATTATTCATAACTACTCGAGAGAATTGCCTCCAGTAAAGCAACATAAATGAATAAATTAAAGGAAACTTTACTGGTAATTTTGGGTAAAATTTAGTTGTAAATGATTAATGGGAAGGAGCACTGTGTAGGAAAGCGAAGGAAATAGCTAGCTTGATGATTGATGAAGCTATTGAAGAGCTGAAAACTTATTCATTACCAAGAAATGGCATAAACCGCAATATTAATTGGTGTTAGTTTTTGATGCAATGTTAAATCTAAGCTGTTTGAAGTAGTAGTAAGTTTAAAGTACTCCTATGCATAAAAATTACAACTTCTTAAACAGTTGGAAAAAAAACACATAAAGAAAGGTTTCAGCCTGCTGTTCTCCACCCTTCTATTCCAAAATTTTAAATTATGTGCATCTACATCAACCTCTAATTCTCAAATTTTAAAACTTCATTTTCACCCATAAGTGGAGAAGAATTGGATTATAAAAGCCAAATGGAGTTGTGAATCCGTAAATGGAATTGCTGGTTTTTTTTTTTTTTAAATTTGTAAGTCAAAGTGTATATATATATATATATATCATTGTCCATGTAAATCATTTATTAACACATGTTTTCATGCTATGAAAAATATTTAGGATCATTAATGTCAAAGGGTACTTTTTTGAATAAGTTGTATAGAATTGACATGAAGAGGAATATAGCATTGTAGATGATGGTGGTAGAAATAAAACATCTACTATCATATATGATTTTGACTTAGTATCAAATTTAGTTTGAAAATACAAATATAGGTGATATGAAATGATTATTATGGGGCATATTAGATTTAAACAATCTCTCCATTAATTTAGTGGATGAAGTCAACGAGCATATTGTAGATCCTCTAAATGATGCTATTAAATTTAAAGATTTATTACATGATACAAGAACAAAGTTGAATCAAAAGTGTAATAATTAAGTTGTTCTGCTATTTGGAGGTCATTTTTGGAGCTAATTACATAGAGTGTAAATGATTTCCTAATAATATATATGTCATGCATATATAAAAAACAAAATATTGTTGATAATTTTATTAGAACTTTCCTTTATCATGACAAATTTACAGATATCCATCCCTCTGCAAAACAACGTTGAATTCGTGTCTTTTCTCTCGCGTGCACGATTTGCCTCGATCATAGCTTACTTCATCATTAAAATGCAAGTGAAATGAAGCTGAAGGTTTCCGTTATTCAATCCCATGCAAACAACCGATTCCAGGCCTCTCCGCTCGCTTAAACCTCTCCCAAATCCTTGCAACAACCGTTAACCTCTTCTTATATTACCCAGGTAAATAAATTTTTCTGGAGTCAATATAACTCTGAATCATAAACCGTCTTCGTCATAGCATTGAGACTATGTTATTTTAATTTCATGATTTTTTTGTAATTTTTGGACACTTGAAAATCCTTAAAAAATTGGTATCTATTGGTGCAAGTGAGGATTTCGGGACCTTCAAGTGTACGTTTTTAAAACCAATTTTATGAATATTTTTCTATAATTTTTAAATTCCAAATAGATTTGTATGAATTTTTTATTAAAATTTGAATAAATTAAATAATTATATTAATATTTTATTATAAATATCATTATCCACTTTCCTTAATTTACATAAAACTATTTCATTCTCCTCAATTCAGCTAAATAGAGGTCTATTAAGAAAAATAAAGAGAAAATAAGAGGAGAAAGAAAATTAAAGTTTCCATTTGGAGGCTACGGAGCAATTTTCGTCAGTCAGACCTGGTGGAAGATTTACTTTTCTCGCTATAAGGAACCTTTACCCTTTTTTTGATTTCAAAGATTTTGTATTTTTGATATTTTTCTAATAAAATTTGTATTTCCATTAGAAAAAAAAAACAATTATGTATTGGTAAGACTTTGACCAAATAACTTTTTATATACTATAGAGATTATGATTATGAATATTTTTAGTATTTATTTGAGATTTTTTACCGGGTAATTTTGAAAATATAATGATTTTTTGTTACTTAGAAATTTATTTTGACGTCTAAAAATAGTAATTTAGTTCAACTAAAGCTTCAGTATATTATTTTAGCTTATATTTGGTTAAATTCAGAAAATATGAATTTTTGCTTAATCTAATTTTTGTTGTCTACATTATGACATTTTAACATTTTTTTGAATTTTGCTAAATAATACTTTATTTGCTACAATGCATTGAAAATGAATGTAGATATGTGATTGAGATAACTATTATAATAATGTGATAATTGATATATCATCGAAAAATTATCTTAATTGGGCACGAATCTCGAGGCAAAAATTAAGTTGGAGGCTTCAAAAATTAAATTCGGGATCATCTGAACTCCAATTTCAACAAACTTATAGTCGAATTGATTGGCTCGGAAATGTGAAACCAACGACACCAAAATCGACTCAATTTGAGCCTAAATGAGTCCAAATCAAGGACCCGAAGCGCCATTGGATGGTTCGAACCTCAGTTTGAGTTACCAAACAGTTTCCAAAAATGACATGCTTATAGTCGAATTGAGCGGCTTGACGAGACGAATCCAACGAGCCCAAGAAAGCTAAATTCTGACATCACTAAAACCTTCAAATGTCTGACGAATGGTCCATGATCAAGGGATTCAATATTGGTCGTCCATTCAAATCACTCCCGATTCGCCCCTGATCTCTCACCTATTTATAGGTCATGCCACTCCATAAATCTATAAATAGACCCCTCATTTCTCTTATGGGGGGGGCTAGCAAGAACAAGAGAAGAAGAAGAGAAGAGAGAAGATAAGGATAAGAGGGAATAACTCCTCGACCACCGCCGGAGTTCTTCCCGCCGCCTGAGTAACGCCAGAATTCGACCGGGCATCCGAGCGACGCCAAAATTCTTCCTAAGAAACATCAAAGTTCTATTCTATGCCGGAATTCAATCCAACTTTCAGACGACACCTGAATTCTGCCCAATCTCCTTAGAGACGCCGGAACTCTGCTCAACTTTGTAATTGAATCTCAACTTAAAAAAAGATTTATTACAATTTGATCATTCTAACTTTATGGACGAGTCAGCCTCTTGTATTTCAAATAAAACACTAGTGGAACTATTTCAACAGGGCGAGGCCCCATGGTTTTTTTCCTTTCAGGGTTTCCACGTTAAAATTTTTGTGTTATTGTTTCTTCTCTGTTTATTTGCTAAATATCCGTACAATGCTAAGACAAAAATTTCTTAACTCTACTGCCGCGTATATTCTAGTCCGCAACAGTTTGGCACCATCTATAGGAAAGTGATTCCATGATTGGGGGGGGGGATTAATGCTCCAATCTAAAATGATCACTCATAGCATCAATTTCACAAAAATCAGATGCAGACTAGGGGGCAACTTTGACTCCAACCATGGTCAAATAGATCCTCCAATACTTTCGTCAAGATGATATTTCAGGAAAACC